TCGTTTACTCGGACTGATATAACGATCAACTTCTACATGGAAGAAAGGGCGATGACAGGAAAACAAGAGTTAGCAGGGGTCTCCGCTATCACAAGAGTAGGTTTAATGCATCGTATAATAAGATGGCAATGATATGAAGATCGACATTTACTATTTCTAGTTCTAGAGCAACTGTTGAATCTCGTGCAGGGGATGGGAAATCTTCTCTTTGCATGAGTAGGCTGTTTGCAAGAACAGGTTTCACATGAATATCTAGAAGGGCTTTCTACTTCGGGTGTCGAACTTTGGGCTACTAAAGAATGGAAGGTCGCTAGCAGCTTCCATAGCTGTCTGGGATAGGCCACAAAGGGAAGCAAAAGGGGATTCATGGAGTCAATAGATTGTTCGGAAGTAACTGATCCCGCATTAGCATTAGTAAGGGAAGGACCTGGCTATCTTTTGGTCAGGTTTTCTGGGCCTCTACTAAAATAGGTTCTGAACGCCTCACTTCTCTTACTTTCGATGCTTATCTTCACTTCTCCCAGCGCTGCTCAAGAATCATTCTGGTATCTACTACTCCGGTACCTACTATTCTTTATGAACCTAGGGCTTCGCTTGCTCGCCCGTAGTTCTTTGGCGGGGGTAGGCAGCATAACATCTTTTGGTTTTCCACTTCCAAGAAAGACTTGAGTGAATTAACCATTTGCTTACTCTTGTAGACCGCTCTCCTCTTTGTTATTCAAAGTCTTTCTGACTTGGGTAGCCGGATTTTGATAATTCGAATGGGCAAAGCTCTTCCTTCCTTTGGTGATGAAGTTGGGCCGTCTTTATTATGTCAATTCTGGGTCAACCATATTCCCATCCTCGGCTTTCAGCCTCAGAGACTTTCCAACCGGAAGGATCACTACAACTTTACTCAGGTCGGTTGCTTCTCAATCGGGTTATCCATTTCCTTGCTCATGTAGGCTTTTTGGTGTATCAACCCAGGATTTTACCACTGCAGGGTCGAATCCTATTATTATTATTGGCTGCTGGCCGCACTAAATACATCATTGTCCTGAGGCATTATATACCTACTTATATAGGTGGAAGGGCCAAAGCAAGGCCCCGTTATGTCTTTGAGTGCCGGAGATTGGGAAGAATGAGAAACGAAAGTCTCGAAACTACAATTATTGGAACCAAAGCGCCCACCTAGAAACTATACCAACTGCGTCCTACACTACGAAATGCCACAACGCATAAAACTCTTTCTTTCGATCTTGGCTGTCTTCTTTGACTTTCCCTGAAATTCCTAAAGGAACTGAATAAAGTAGACTATTCGCTTAAGCACATGTTTATGAAACCATTTCGTAATGGGAGGAATTTTGGAAACATAAAAAAGAGGTAAGTAGGTTGCTTGCTGGTTCTTACATCGGGCTTTGGACATCTACAATCTTCCGACAAGATTCTGTGATTCACCGCGGACAGACATATAGGATCATTCTCAATTACCACTTGTGGTTTTAGCTACCTGAGTAAGGTAAGATGCCTTCCCAACGGGTAGAGGAGCATGCAGCTGAAAAACTTGAATATTCGTCTTACCTACATACCCATCGTCACCACGCACCCTTCTCGCACTAGGTTGCGCAGACAAAGTGGTTGTTGTGCGATCTAGGGCAGACACATCAAGTCAAATTTTACACAGTTACCATTTCACTTCATTGTCATGATTGAGATAACTGAATCCCTGAGTCCCGCTGCGTTGCATTCACTAGAACAGTTCTACCCAATGATACGACCTTGGGACATTCGCTTCCTAATGAAAAGAGCTTCGCTCACTTCGATTCAAGTTAACTTATCCCATATAGTATTCTCAAGATTCTTAGGCCAGGGTTCCAAACCTTATATGATCGAATTGCTCATAAGACATCATATGGAATTTCCCGTAAAATGGAATCAACCACACCTTCTCTGTCAACTTACACCTTCTTCATTGAAAAGGATTTTGGCTCTACTCTTTCGAATTCTAATTCAAATCTCCGGCTAAAAAAAGTAGCTATTATACCTCACCCAGGAAGATCTACAATGTCCTTTCCTATGAATGAATAGATTGGAGAATATTTATACGTTGATGCGGGCCTACCACCAAATCTCTACAGTGAAGTCCTTTGCCGAATATCCCTAAAAACCTAGTGGATATCCCAACTTTCAACTTTCATGGCTAACGACTATCTATCCTATAAAAATCATCTCTCTCTCTTTCCTCAACTACGTCGAACCTTGTTTATTCCCGTCCTGCTCTTCGGATGAAAAGAAAGGAGCGCATAGCAGCGGGAGCGCATAGCAGCGGGAGCTGCTAAAAAGCTATCCAATTATAACTAACAAAACTACCTCTTTTAAACCCGAAGGCAAAGCGAAGTGAAGAGAGGGCTTAAGGGGTGTTAAGCCCGAACGCAGAGAAGCGATCAAGATGTAGCGTAATAGCTTTTTTGAACTGCTCAAGCCGGGATATTCGGCCGCCGAATGCAATACAACTTACACCAAAAACTTTTGCGAAGTAAAATAGGCTGAAACAGCCTATATAGCTTAGCCTTAAAGGCTCTGCTCTACTGTGCTGCTCTGTTGTGGGCCTCTACCAAAAAAACTTCGCTCTCAAGGCCACCATTCCAGACCAAAGGAAAGGAATGGTATAGGCCTTGACCTCTCCAATATATTGCCTTTTTTTGTCTTTCCAAACCGGTAACGAAGCCTAAAAGTACCAATTCGGTCTCAATTCTCTTGAATTCTTTATCGTATAGAGCCACCTTCTTCGCCAGCGTTGCTATTACACGGGGTAACCGTGGGGGGATACCGGTGGATCCCCCAAGCGAGCCGGTAGTATGAGGTCGCGACCCCTCACTTTCTAGCTCAATGTCTGTCGTCTTGTCGCCGAGTTGGTTTCGAAAGGAAGGGTTTCGCTTTTTTATTCCGGGGTAAGCCTTAGGATAAAATCCAGATGAGTAAATTTCCAATGTATGAAATAGCCCATGACATTTTAATTAAAAAAATCCATGGGTTTAATTCGACTTTTCTTCCCCCCGTTTAACGGTATTTACCCTTGGGGACTTTACTTCCTAAAGGAACACCCTAGTTGTTGAGCACTGAAGCTCTTAGTAAAGCACAACCTATAAACCTGTCTGCCTTCCTTCTTCCAAATCCAGTTGTTTTTCTTGTAACTCTCATGCCCCCCTCCGAATCACCCTCGAAGGTTTGCAACCGTATTTCTAGCATAGTCCAAATCCGATACTTCGATCATTACGGTAAAAGGGCTGCACCCGCCTCTGATTTCCCTTTTGTAATCGAGTTTTATGCCTTTTTAGGCTTCTCATTTTCTCATAGAGCTTTGCAAAAAATTCTAAGATTCTCTTCTTTACTTTTTGATAATTACTACTCGGTTCTTCAGGGATGCTTAGAAAATGTACTTAGTAATAGCCTTTATTCCATGGTGGGCCTTTCCTGGGAAGCCAGTTCCTTAGGCTGGCTTTTCCCCCCGGTACCCTTGCCTTTGCACCTTACCGCGTGCTAAGGCTCCGATCCGCGGATTAGGCACTAAGCCTTCTGGAAAAGCTGATCCAATATGGAGGCTAATAGTAAGCCCATTGGTTCTCGGAGTTACCGTACTTGCAGCTGGATGCTTGGTGATCTCGAACATCACCTACGAAAAACCAGGAAACCCTCAATTTTTGTTGATTTGTTCTTGTTTTTAAGGCCGTAAATTCCCGACCGAAGGGAAGGAATTGAATCAGGCCTTATCGATTTTTAGTATAAAAAGCGCTTTATCTTTTATGAATGCACTAGCACTTCTTAAATTTATGTTTTTAAATCCTTTTTCCGGGTAGAAAAAAGTCATAATTTTCGTAAAATAAGACAAAATGGATTGTAACCCTATATCTTATAAGACCTAATCCTTATTTCCATATTTTTAAATAGGGTACTACTACTCCAAAATGGAGATTGAGTTTTTCTGCTTAAACAAAGGCCGTAGGGATGTGGTTAGCAAGATAATCCACACCCTCCGGAACGAGGGCCAGACTCAGCTCTGGTCCACCATCGGTCAAGAGAATGGAGTCGAATTGGTAAATTTAGGACTCATTATTATGTTTGGAAAGACCGAAGGACGTTTCAAACCCTTTGAATGCGGGCGCGGAAAGGGAAGTAGCGAGTGAAAAGAAAGGAGTGGACAGCAGCGGGAGCTGTTAAAAAGCTATCCAATTTTAACTAACAAAACTACCTCTTTTAAACCCGAAGGCAAAGCGAAGCGAAGAGAGGGCTTAAGGGGTGTTAAGCCCGAACGCAGAGAAGCGGTCAAGATGTAGCGTAGCGGCTTTTTTGAACTGCTCAGGCCGGAATATTCAGCCGCCAAATGCAATGCAACTTACACCGAAAATTTTTGCGAAACAAAATAGGCCAAAACAGCCTATATAGCTGAGCCTTAAAGGCTCTGCTCTGCTGCTTGCTACCAGGCCGCAATTCCCTTTGGGAATTGTGTGTGCCTCTATAAAAAAAAAAAACTGCACTCTCAAGGCCACCATTCCATACCAAAGAAACAAATTTATGCAAAAACTGAGTTCTATTTTCCTCTTATTTATTATATTTTATCTATTTATTAGTTGTTTATTACTATTTTAATAATAGTTATTTTTTGTATAAGCCAGAAATATCTTTCATCATATCCGTGGCAGACAATCTTATTCAAGAAATCAAGGCAACCAGGACTATTTTGTTATTATTTTTATTTACTGCCTGCCGCCCAAAAAATTAACTATGAATAATTATTGTTTTTGGTAATACGAGGCAATAGGCCAGTATCACAAGAGGAATGCTACACTGTCCGAAAGTTTTGTCCGAACGATCAACCGAATATTAAAATACTAATATTTTTTAATAAATTTATTATAAAATAACTATTTAATTTAATATTTTATAATTTAAATTATTATTTTAATCTTTCGGAGTATATTTCGGAATGCAGTTTCGGACATTTGATCATTTTCCGTATCACAAAAGGCAAAAAGAAAAAGGCAGCTAATAAACGTAGCATCATTCACGTCAAGTTAACGCTCACTAAAAAGTAAAAAAAGAGACATAACAAAATAGAGAAAAACTAAAACTACTTACGCCTCTGGGTACGATCGAAATGCTTTGTAACCAAGTAGCTTCTAGTTTAAGGTTCATAAAGGAGAGGCATCAATCGACCAACCAATTATTCTCGTACTCTGCTTTTCTTTTTCTTTTTCTTTTTCTTTTTCTTTTTTTCCTATGAATTTAGTACATGCAAAGTGGTCCCTATATACCCCTACAGTTACTTCCAATTCCAATGCTATAAATTGGAACTTAACTGACAGACTCAATGGAATATCAAAGGACATCGCATTCGCAAATCCTTTTATTCACATTGTCATCAACATGGAAGAATTAGGTAACTTGATAAGTTTTACACATCTTTCTTTTTATTTATTCTTTGTGTAATTTTGTACCCTTTTATTTTTATCAAAGTCTTAGTAGATAAAATCTGTTTTCTGAAATGAATGGCTTTTGTTTGGAATTTGATCTGATTCTTATTTCACTGTGCTGGTTGTTGGTTTGACAATTCTATTTTTCTTGTGCAGGGAATGATCACCCGAGTTATGTCCCATCTGAATTGGTCAATTGTTCATCAAATGATTGCAAAGTAAGGTACCATTGCTATTTGATGGAATTGAAGCAAGATTTCACGTATACGGTGTCGGTTCGTGACATTGTACTCGCAATTAGGAGTGAACTTGACTCGGAAATCGTAGACTCATTATCAGGCACATCATTTAATGTGCAAAGGGGAAAATTGTCATTGAACCTCACACATTTAGAACCCATTCAACTTAGCCCAGAAGAGGTGTGTTCATGTCCTCTTTCTTTTAATCATTATTAGTATCAAAGAACATACATTACATGATTAAGATTAAAAGCAACTCCTTCTATCTTAAAATGTTAATTATTCAAATATAATATAATATTATGATTTATATTTATTTTACAGGTTCAAAGTTGCAGAAGATTTCAGACTACCCTCTTTAGGATCCTCCTGAATCCCGACATTAACAAGTTAACAAGTGTTTCAGATGATTTTAGCCTGGGAGATAATCCTGAAATTGATTATCTTCTGCTCCCAGCCACTGTTAAAGAGCAGAGACTTACAAATTCAATTATAGATTGGAAGACTGTTTATTCTGTTCCTTTTTCATCTGAAGGTACCTGTGAATGTAAGGATCATGTTTGTGATGTGAGGATCCAAAATGGTTCAGTTTGCTCTAGCAAACTTGAAAATTGTGTGGTCTATACTCCTCATACTGGTTCCATTTATATCGTAACTGGTATAATGGAATTGAATGGAAACTCAATTCTAAACCTAGGACGCAAGGGAACTACTACTTACAAGGAATACTACAAAAACAAGTAAATTTTTGTACCTTTTTTATCTACTTGTGTCCTAGGTGTCAACCATTGAGCACCATGAGTAATTTTAATTATTGTTTCGAAATCGCAGCCACGGGATTCAATTGTGCTTTGAACATCAATCTCTACTTCATGGAAGGGGTGTTTCTAAAGTAGGGAATTACCTTCTGAAGGCCAGGCAAAAGAAAGAGAAAGGTTCAAGATATAACAATTCATTGCTCAAATATTCTTCCTAGTATTGCATTTGTAGTTCTTAAAACTTGCTCATCTACATTATTGAAGATATTTTAATGCCATTTGACCGAGCTCATTACCAACATAATGGAACCTGATTAATTTTTTTACCCCTTTCAGGATCAAGCATGAACTCTGTTGAATTGCCGCCAGAACTTTGTTCTGTAATCATGTCACCAATATCAATCAATACCATATATTCATTTTCTTTTATTCCATCAATCATGCATTGGCTTGAGTCATTGCTCGTTGCTTTCAACTTAAAAAAGATGCTCTTGGATAATTTCACGCCAAAAGATCTCCCAGTCATCAAGGTAACAAGCAACTTCTTCCTGTGAAATGCTTATGAATCTCTTCTTTCATTTTATTTAGCATGATGATTAAATTAAGAAAAAAGATCAATGTGATCTTAATTTTCTAAATTGATAGATGAAATGAAACCATGTTTATTCTAAAAAATTATAGTTATTAGTAGAAGGAGTGATGATGTATCATGTATATTAAAAATTGTATTACATTATAGTATGTATATCGACTATTCGAATAGTATGCATATAGTCATAAGTCGTTGAAATTTCAGCGCAACTACTGTTATATATATATATATATGGTCATTTTGAAAAAATATTTTTTAACGTTTATCAATTTAAAAATTCAAAACTATATTTTTAATTATATCTTTATCATTATTTAATTCTTAAATATTTTAAACAGCTATTATAAAGGAAAGGAAAAAAATGTAATGCATATCATATTAGAAAGTTAAAAGAAACATTAAAATTGACTTAGTGAAGAAATTGCAATAGCATACATAAGGTTTTAAGCTCGAATTTTGGTATCATTTTTATAATTTTGATAGATAAAAAAATTAGTTAAAAGTAATCTTATAAAAAAATAAAAATATTAATTCTATAATTTCTCAATACATGTGTCGTTCTCCTAAGTCAACAAATAAAAAAATACCAAATTTTTGGATAGTATTTTGACACTTGTTGCCTAACATAACTATTTTATTTAAATAAGAAAATATTATTTCAAACTTTTACGTAGACTACTGTTTCATGTTTATTCTTCGTTTGACATAATTCTTAATGAAGGCTTCCTCGTTTAATCTTTTTTTTTTTCTTTTTCTTAATCTCTTATTTAATTCTCTATAATAAAATTAGATTTTAGTTTTTATATATTGTTAGTGGAATTTTTCTTTATAACTATATATTATTAAGTATTCAGAAATGGTGATAAGAATAATGAGTTTTTTTTATGGTATGAATTTATAGATGATTTAATGATAATTGTAGGTATTACAAGCAATAACGGCAAAGGAATGTCTAGAGGCGTACGATTATGATTACTTAGAGACACTGGGCGATTCTTTTCTAAAATACGCTGTTGGTCAACAGCTTTTCAAGACCAATCAAAACGATCAAGAGGGCGCCCTCTCCAAACAGAGGGAGAAGATCGTTTCTAATGATGCCTTGTATAAGAATGGCTGTACTCGCAAACTTCCGGTATTATTATCTCTTCCAATTTTTTGTTACATTTTATAAGATTCATGTCGATTACTTATGTAGAATGCAATTTGTTTGACAAAGCTAAAATAAAAAAATTCATGCTACAGGGTTTCATACGAAAAGAAGCATTTGATCCAAAGCAGTGGGATATACCTGGTGACAAGTCAAAATGTCTCTTGCTAAAACAAGAATTGGTTTCCAATAGAATAGGAGTATACGTTCGCAGAACGAGAGAAATAGACTTCAAAGTTATTGCTGATGTTGTTGAGGCACTAATTGGTGCCTTTATAAGCACGGAAGATGAAGAAGGTGCTTTATCGTTTATGAATTGGATTGGGATCAAGGTTGACACTAATATTATACCATATGAGACTCACCTCAGCATTGCCCCAGAGAAGCTTGTGGATGTCAAACTTTTAGAATCCCGGCTAAACTACTACTCGTTTAAAGACCCTTCTCTTTTGGTTGAGGCTCTCACCCATAGTTCTTGTAAACGACCAGAAGTTCAGAGATGTTATGAGGTAATCTCAACATTAATTTCTTACTAACTACTTTTTAATATCGAAGTCCATGTTAATGAGACTAATTAAATATAAGTTTAGAATAATCTTTACAAGTTTTTCCGTCAAAATTAAAGATTTTTTTAAATAGAAAATTTTTCAAAATCATTTTTAATGTGTTCAAACAGACTCTTGATATAATTTCATTGTTTCTGTAAGGATTGATGGATCGTACACATTCCATCAATTCAATCACCTCATCATTATTCATCATTTTTATCTTTCTTTTCCTATCATAAGGTACCATTTATACTTTTCTCTTTTTTACCTCTTTCTCTAGCTAGGTGTCAATTATGTAATTAACTGTTCATCAATCACTTTTGTACTTTCAAATTTCACTACATGGTTAAAAATATATTCTTGAGAACCTTATGCTCCGATGTTAGAATTAATAAAACAAGGATGAAATCAAGTGGAAACTAGTGAAACCTATTCCTTTGTATTCTATTCTTCACCTTCATTTTTCTTTTTCTCTAGTTTAGGAGGACTGAGATGGAATAAGAGTTTTGATCTATTCCATCATAATACGTCCACACAGTGGATTGAAAGCTTTATTCCATTATATTACATTCATCTCCATTTTTTTTCCCTATCAATCTAAAGTAACATACCCGGGGACACTACAATTAGTTATTGGTCTAGTCTTTGTGGAACTTTATGTGTCTATGATAAACTCTTAACTGCATGCAGCGACTTGAGTTTCTTGGCGATGCAGTGTTGGACAATGTCATCACAATGCATTTCTACAAGGAATATTCTAAAGGAAAGTTATCAGCAGAATTTTTCACTAACATGAGGTCTATTTCTGCGAACAATGAGTGCTACGCACTGTCGGCAATTAAAGCTCAGCTGCACGAACACATACTCTGTGACCCAGTAGTAGCAAATAAAATTGCAGACACGGTAAAAGGTGTTGAGAAGTTATCTTTGGAATCAACTTTTGGATGGGAGCTAGAAACATATTTCTGTGAGGTCAGTTGTTTAATATTTCAGTGCATGACTTGTTCCAATCCAAAAAAGGCTTATTCACTTCACATTACTACACATACCTTGATGAACAAAACTTTAGATACAATATCATATTATAGGTATTATTTGAAATGTATTTCGATCAAAATTAGAACTTTATTTTGATATGTTTTATATTATAAAGGTGAAACTCTAATTCTGAAACTGCATCTTAGTTTTGTCCTATGTTTTTTTTAGTGATCATGTTTTGATGTTTCTATTTATGATAGGCACTTGCAGATGTTATAGAATCCATAGCAGGAGCGATTTTCGTTGATTCAGGGTACAAGAAAGAGGTTGTTTTCGAAAGCATAAGACCCCTTTTGGAACCCCTTGTTACACCTGAAACAGCAAGGCGGCATCCTATTAATGAGTTGCAAGAACTATGCCAAAAAGAAGGCTACAAAAGGAAAGAATACGCTCCCGTTCGTGACAAGAATGAAACTTCAGTTACAATCCAGGTGGTAGCTAATGGGATCACTCACAAGCATACAGGTAAAGCTTCTAATAAGGACACTGCTCGTAAAGTGGCCTCCAAGGAAGTTTTAAAACTAATCAAGGTAAACAATATTGATTCAAAGTTATTAATGAATAGGAGATTTTCATTTCCTTTATTATCCGCAATCTTTTTATTTTGTTGGTTTGTAGATGAAATAATTTATCATATAGTATCCAACTGATTTGTAATTGCAGATTTGCAAGGCTCCTGGCTAATATTTGGTGTTTTACGCTCAAGTGCTTCTAAAAGTCATTATGGTTTATCAAGGTCTGTGTTCGTAACATGGTGAACAAATAGTCCAATATGACGATCCCTGTTGATTGTAAATATTTACGAATTCAACCATCTTAGGATAAGAAACGGATTGTCAAAAGTTCAGTACTGAACCAACCTTGATAAAGTATCTCTTCCGGTGTTTCTTACTTAAAACATCTACAATACGGGTTTCACTTTTAATGAATTTTACTGTTACATCACTCATAAATAATTAATATTATATTTTTTATAATTTTTGTTTCAATGAAATTTCTTCTCACCACTCACAATTTTAGAATTCTATAGTATTTTGTTTTTGGTTCCAGCATGGAGAGGTGAGGTTTCTCTAACTAATCACAACACTTTATGTGAAAGATTCGTAGACCTAAATTTTATTTTTTTCAACGAAAGATAGAACTAAAAGAATTTCAACTTTTTGTATTACATAAACCAACTTCACTTGACATTTCTTATTAGATATAATGCTTAGTGTACTAGCTGACACCCCTTCGGTCAGGCAATAGGCCGATAGGGGTACCCGATCCGATAGGACGTCAATTGGCACTCCTCCGTTCAGACAATAGGTCGAAAGAGGTGCCCGAGCCGATAAGAAACACATCACGCCTTCGGCTAGAGGTTGGGCCGAACACCTCCTCGGCGTTGGCATATACCGAACACCCCCTTGGCCTTGGGATAGGCCCAATACTTCCACCACCACCAAGGACAGGACAAGTATCCCTTTGGTATCAAAACACACCCTCCTCGGCATTGGCATATGCCGAACACCCCTTCGACATTGGCATATGCCGAACCCCTCCTCGGCATTGGCATACGCCGAACACCCCTTCGGCCTTAGAGTAGACCTTTCGGTCTTGCACCTGGCCGAACACCCCCTTCGGCCCTAGGATAGGCCGAACACCCTTTCGGCCCCGCGCCTGGCCGAAGAACGGACAGAATGAGATTTCGACAATAATTACTTGTTACACAATAATTACCGTCCTTAATCAGCAACGATTAAGGATAATCACGTATTACCCATCTCCCAAGAAGGAAGACCCACCAGGCCCACATATATCACTATAAATACATAGGTGATGTGACATAAATGAGGTACGTTACTATTCAACATAAAGGCATTTATTGCTCTATACCGAACACTTACTTGATCGTTGGAGTGCCTTTGCAGGTACCCTCCCCACCCTTTAAAGACGGTGTTCGTTGGAGTGCCTTTGCAGGTACCCTCCCCACCCTTTGGCACCTACTACTTTTCTTGTGTGTTTTTCTTTTTCTTGTTCTTATTATTTTCTAATTCTTATTAAGTTAGAAAACGTTAATTTAACAAAGTCGTTATACCAACAAAGAGTCAGAGACCGATGAGGAGTAACCATCTTTGATAAGTGTCTCTTTATTGGCTAGCACCTACTACACTCTGTATTTTTTTTTTATTTTTTTTATTTTGTTTTTTTCATTATTGTAAAGTAAGAAACGGTTATTTAAAAATCAATCGTATTACCTTTCTCGCTTCATGACAACCAAAGTTTTGAGATGGAAAACTAATTGTTTTATTCTTTGACCCTGAAGTAAACAAACCTTTTATTGGGAGAGTTTAATCCATTTTATTGGGTACTATTTCAATATTAGCTAGGGTAAATTGATGTAACAAATTTAATAATAATGTTTTTTTTCTCGTTAAATATGTCTTATTATGTATTTTGTCATCGTAATACTAATTGAAAATCACATTTCATTTTTATAACAATTACAAAAATTTGACTCATCTGATTTTTTTTTATCTAAAATCTTGGCATCAACATTTTGCTTAAAAAAATGAAGTTTAATATCACTCTTGATAAATTAAAAAATCACAATCTTTAAAATGTTTTAATTATTATAAATGAAGATTTTGTCAAGTGAATAGATGTCATGAGACAACAAATTTCACTATTTTTTTAATTTTTTAATTCATAAAAATATTATTTTATATTTTATTATAATATTTAATACATAAACTAAATTTTTTTTTCCGCTACGCAAACCCTTCAACCCATTAGACCAAAGTTTAATTCTGCTTGATCACAAATTTACAAATATAATAATAAATTTAGTTAAACTTTTTATTTTTTTTATTTATTTTTTAGATTCATTTTGGTCACTTATTTTTTAAAATATTTATTTTGGTCTTTTATCTTCAAAATTTAGGTGAATTTATTTTTTTCTTAATATTTTTTTGACTTGTTAAAAATTTAAAATTTGTTTCATTATATTGACTTTTACGAAAATTATTGAATGCAATTAAAGTTCAAAGTAAAAATATTATATACATGGTGAAAATAAAAAAATTTAAAAAATATTTCATATTATTTTTTAACTGTTCATGAGATGTATTTTTAACACAATTTTCAATATATTTATACCCTTTTTAGATTTGAAGATCAATTACATTTTTTAAAAGGAAAATGAATAATTAACAAAATGATATTTAAAACATTTATTTTATCATTAGTATCTATCGTTAAATTTATGTATATAGAAGTTATATATAATATATTTAAAAACAAACATTTTTGAAAGACAATTTTTAAAATGAGATATTTATAAATATAAGATTATTTGGATATATACCAATTTTATAATCATTTATTTGTGCATAATTATTTTTATTCATGTCTATTAGCATATGTATTTATAAAATAAAAATAATATATTTTTAAAAAAATCTTAATAATAAAAAAATGTAGGTTGTAATCAAATATCCATGGAGAAGATATCCATTTATCGAACCTTAGATCGATACTACAATAACTTAATTAATCACACCGTCACAATGAAATACTCGTTTTTATTATCAAGCTATTATTAAGAAACAAAAATTCATCTATATCGATTCTCCAAACCCTCTCTCTCTCCTTACAAAGCGAATATGTAGCTTTTTCTTCTTTAACTTTTAAATTTATAAAAAATATTGTTGAATTATATCAATCAATAATTAAAAAAAAAAAAAGATTGTAACCATAAAAAATGTATTTTAATTTTAGTGATTAAGTGCACTTTATTTATACGAGTGTCTAAAATATATTTGTTGATGTGTTATTATCTTACCCATCTAAATTCACAAATATTGAATAAATATTTTATTTTTTTTGTTTTTCTGAATTTGTAATGATATGTTATGCCATTGTTGGTTGTGACGCATATAATAGAAAAAAGGAGTCATAATGAGTATGTGTAAATATTAATATGTAATTAGTTATTGTATAGATAAATAAATGTGTTGCATGAAAGTAAAATGTGAAAATATCAATGACGTTAATAAAGTGGTCTGTTAATAGTAATATGGTAGAAGATACGATGGCATGGCGTAGGTGACGAATGCAAGGTCGTCCTCTCCCCATGGCTTATTGCGCAACCGATGTGTCTATATAGCTTCCACGCACGCACTCCTCAAATTGCACTAAACTAATTACACCTTTTTCCCTTAGTCTCCAATCTCCATCACTATGCCAACAACATCCTCCTCAATCGCCGCCACCAGAGCGGAGGAGTGGCGAACTCGAATAGGCTCCGCCCTACGAACCACCGTGGCATGCACCGTAGTAGGCCTCACCTCCCTCTACGGCCCGGCGCCTCTCCGCCGCTACCTGGAGTTCCCATCCTTCACCTACGCCACAACGCTCCTCATAGTGTCCGACGCAACGCTCGCCCAAACCCTAAGGGGATGCTGGCGCGTGCTGTGTTCCAACGTCCAGGTCATGATCCTGTCCCTGCTGAGCCTGCACCTGATAGGGCCGAGCAACTTCACGAACGCGGTGGCGGCGCTGGCCATGGCGGCCTCGGTGTTCGTGGTTGCGCTCCCGGAGCGGAGCCACTTGGTGACTAAGCAGCTTGCGTTTGGACAGCTGGTGAATGTGTTCGTTAGCACCGCCGTGGATGGCGGAAAAACAGGCGTGGCCGTGCACGCGATTCACGTGGTGTGCTCCACCGCCTTTGGAGCTCTCGCTTCTCTCGCTTCTTTTGTCGCCACGCCCTTTCCCTATCCTCGACTTGCCTACTATCAGGTACTGTAACTAACTATCTTCCACTTCAATACAAATTCATAATTTTTTTTAATTAAAAAATATTTTTTATTTTCAAAAACAAAATTAAAAACTTATAATTTCTATTTGATATTGTACGTCATTTTCTTTTTTTCATAAATTAAAAACTTCAGCTATATATACAGAAATTTTTTAAGATAGTCGTACCATATGACAAATTTTCTTTTTAATCATTTCTCTTTTTTATTTTATCATAAATCTTTCAGCACTGCATTATAGTGAGAAAATCAACTGCACGAACACAATATGAAAACGAGATGTTGAAATCTCATCGGTTGAATTTAAATTAGAAATTTAAAGGCAAATTCTTTGGCAGTGAGAGGTTGTAAATTTTTTCCTAAACACTCGGAATTCGTAGTCATCAATTTCAGAAATCTTTTATGACATTTTCGATTTTTTTCAACGTGTCATGTCTTGCTCATTAAAAAAATGTTAAAAGAACACCAATTTGTAATTTTTCTCCTGGCCGTTATTCCAGTTTTTGAATAGAGAATTGCTATAGCTTCCGAAGGACATTCCGAATCGTTCTCCGAATAATTAAAATATTAATATTTTTTAATAAATTTATTTTAAAATAATTATTTAATTTAATATTTTATTATTTAAATCAATTTTTTAATAATTCAGAACACGGTTCAGTTGGAACTTCAGCATTTTTCTTTTGGATATCTTTACAATTTCTGTCTTCAAGTGTGTGTCCATGTACGAATTAGAAAGACATTTCATTCGTTCTTGTCCATTATCATGGAGTTTAGCATCACGAGAAACACATGAAACGGGTCAAAATCTCAGATCCTGTTGCCAATAACAACCAAAGAAATTTGGAAAAGTAAAAATATTCTTTTTCTTTAATAAAAGATGATTTCGCGTAAAAAAAATAAAAACAGAGGAAAAAATAAATTTTAATAAAAGTTAAAAGTCAATTTAATTTCTGGAAAATTTTGAGCACAAGCACGTCAGTTTTTTTAAATATAAGGAATTTATCTTAAAATTACAATTAATGCAGGTCATGTTGGCTATTTTCAAAGACTAATGTGCTTCAGCTAGGGGAACTAGTATAACATATATTAATGAATTTTAAGGGCTAATTTTATGATAGATTTTTTAAGATTTACTCTTTTAATCTTCTCTATATAAATTAAATTAATTTTTTAATTAAAATATTTTACACAATAAAAATGTTTCTAAGAATTTTTCCATTAACAGTAATATTTTTTAACTTCTTATATCTTTCAAACCTATATTTTCTTTATTTCTAAATTAAATTTCCATAATTTTTAAAAGGTATTATCAATAATTAATATAAAAAAACACTGTACCTCTCCTTAAGAAAAACTTTTTATAGTAATATAAATTCTTTAGCATAAATCTAAAGTATAATTTATATGATCACAACTATTTAATTATTATAGATTTTAATTATAATATAATCTATATATTAAAATATTTTTTATTATAAATTTAATTATCTACTATTAACATTTATATTGTATATAACACATACTAAACTATTAATAATTATATAAGTATGCATAATAATAAATATTGAAGAAGTTTTGGATTGGTCAATGCTCACACTCTTTTTTAATTGTGAGATGAGTGTGACGTTGAAAGAGATTGAAAAAAGAAGAGAAAGTAATAGATGATATAATATAAAAAAAATAATAAATAAAAAAGAGAGGCTGAATATAAATAAATTGTAATAGAAAAATGAAAATTGAATCAGTCATTCAACTGATCCAAACATTAATTCAAAGTTTAATAGTTTATTTGTGATTGAATAGTGAATATTAATAGAATAATAATAATTATTAATAATAATAAAATAATATTTAATAAATATAATTTTATAATTTATAATATTAAAAATTAAAATAAAATATCATTTATAAATTTTCAACATCTAATATTTAAATTTTAAATATAATATAATATAATATTTAAATCTAAAATTTAATAAAAATATAATAATATCTATTAATAATAATAACAAATTTATATTTAGAATAAAGAATATCAAATTAATATAATATAAATTGTAAAAAATAAAGATATTAAAAATCAGAAGTTAAAAATTAAGATAAATGATTAAATTATTTTTATAAAACAAGTATTAAAAATAAATTATTCAAACTTATAATTTTTTAAAATATGTATTTTATTAAAGATATTTTAATTTAAATCGTTAAAAAAATATTAAACCCATTCAAAATCAATTTTATCAATTTTGATAAATTCTACTAATTTTTTTACCAATTTGTTATTAAAAGATTTTGAAAAAAGGATTGTTATATCTTCTAAAACGGTCTTCGAATCATTCTTTAAAACGTTAAAATATTGATATCTTTTAATAAATATATTATAAAATACTTGTTTAATTTAATATTTTATTATTTAAATTAATTTTTTTTAATAATTTATAATGATTTTCGTAACGTTATTTCGTACGATTTATCATTTTTCTTTTGAAAACCTGCTTAAACAATTGATGACTAGTTCTACGTCAAACCAATCTGATCAATCATTTTAGTACGATTTTCAAAACCATGATTTTTAAAATCATGAAAAAATGTGAGAAATTCAAATTTTGGTTCTTAAAGAAATTTGATTATGTGATATTTTAGAATAAAGGGAATTTTTGGCGAGTATATGGCCCAGGCCCCATCACCTGTTTGGTTCAGTCACAATATATAATATAAAGTATAAACCATAAAACCTGAAGAGATAAGAATAAAGTCAATGCTTGTTTTAGATATCCACCTTTTTGTCCTTTTTTTGTTTTAAATTATATTATTGGTGTCAATTAGAAGTTACTTTAAATATGATATTTAAAATAAATCAACATTTTAGTTTAATAATGCATAGTAAATAAATATCTTTAAATATATAAACTATAATTGATCATTATAATTATTGATAATTTTAAAAGTTGAAATTAAATTTAAATATAAAAATAAAACACTAAACTAAAAGGAATAGCTTATTTAAATGATTAAGTTTATCACTATAAATAAAAGAAAAATAGTTTAAAATAATGAAAACATAATTTTCTTTTGGCTAATTGAACTAAAAATGTCTAACTGAGAAAGTGAATAAAATAAAAATATTACTCTCAAATTATTTATTATAATTTAGAATATAAGAAAAGTCAAGAATGATGTTATACACAACAGATCGGATAAAAGTGTGATTAATTAGTATATTTAAATTAATTTTTTCTTGTGACATTTCCCAAATATTGTGTACTGTATTTTAAAACTTCTTAAAATTACAATTAAATTAATAATTCTTTCACAAATAATCATCCGTTCACATTTTTTTTAACTTAACATCAAAATTATCTTGCAACAAAATTGTGAACTAATTCATGAAAGGAAGTTATCAGAAGAGTGTAAAAACACCGAAGCACTTTGTGTCCCCGTTAACTTAGCGACAGAATAAGAACACAAAACGATAAGAACTGAACTCTTTGTCAGAAGACAACGGTATCAAACAAAAATGATTCGGAGGGTAAAGCTTATTAGGAAATTAAAAATGGAAACCACTAACGACTAGGGCCCTTCGTTCTGTATATATTTCAACAAATGCTAGGAGCTCAACATTTTATTTTTGGAAGATGCCAGATGCAAATGTGCAAATTGCTATTTTATCAAACAGAAGAAGAAAAAAATTGTTTTAGTCATTGTTTTCACTGCTATAAGAGAGCAAAAAAAAAAACACTTTCAATTGACCTTGCTTTCAGACAAAGAAGTTATACCGATTATACGCTGAGAATACTTGTGAGAGGTTCAATTGCATCATAGAGGCCATCTCTGCCTCAGACAACTCAACTGCTACAGGTTTCTTCACTCAAGCAAAGTCCCTTTCCACAACAGGAGCCAAGCTTCTCCAAAGTATTAGAACCAAACTGGTAAGGTAACCTAAGGCTAAATCATGCAATTCAACGCTATACTTGCCAATGAGCTAAATGTTTGGTCTTGGTTTTTTCATCAAACAGGATGGCATGCATTGGGAACGGCCACAAACAAAAATTTTCAACCCCCATTGGATTGACCCAGAAGAAAAACTGCAAGACTTGGAGCTACCAATAAGAGCTATGGGCATTGCTTTATCAACTTTTACTTCTTTTCCTGTTGGGGTCATTGATGAGGAGCTCAGAGGTGTCTTGCTGAATTGCAGAGGACAATTCAGCAAAAAATTAGGTCAGCAAGCCAAGTGCTTTGCACCTTTTGATACAACCATAAATTCAGAGATAAAAAAAGACATTTTGACCAAAAACCTGTCGGTAGCCTATAAAGATCTACCAACCTCGTTCTTTTTATACTGTGTCCATCTTCTCCTAGATGACTCACCCATTGCAAAGAAAAATGACCATTTGCTGGGGAAAACTCAGAAAAGTGGTGATCCGAATTGGAGCACCAGAGAGGTTGTGATGAACTTGATTCCCAGCAACCACAACTTGGCTTTTGCATTCAAGTCCTCTCTTTCGCTAGGCCTCGCTGTGTTTTTCGGTTTGACATATAACAAGGAAAATGGATACTGGGCGGGACTCTTAATCTCCCTATGTTTCGTGACTGGACGCCATCCAACATTCTCACTAGCAAATGCACGAGGGCAAGGAACAGCAATGGGATCGATCTACGGGATCCTTTGTTGTTTCATTTTCCAAAAAAATTTGCGTTTCAGTTTCTTAGCTCTTTTACCATGGGTCTTTTTTTCTTCTTTTCTCAAGTATAGTAGAATGTATGGTCAAGCTGGTGGGATTTCAGCAGCTACAGGGGCCTTATTGGTCATTGGTATGAAGCACAATGAACCTCCAATTCAATTTGCACTTGCTAGAATGGTCGAGGCCACAATTGGACTCCTTTGCTTCGTTATTGTAGAGATTGTTTTTAATCCTTGCAGAGCTGCAACTCTTGCAAAATTTGAACTTTCTCAATGCTTGAAATCACTTCAAGATTGCATTGAGCAGATTGACATTAGTACTCCAACCAAGAAAGAGATGTCATTTTCAAGCTGTCCAGCATTGAGAGAATGCCAGAAAAAGCTGAAATCTCTAGCGGATCAATTAGAAGAGTTCACAGCAGAGGCTGAATTGGAACCAAATTTCTTGTTCGTTCCATTCCATAATGAATGCTACAAAAAGATGCTGGAATCACTATCAAAGATGGCAGATCTCTTAATTTTTGTGGCATACTCAATGGAAAATGTCATGCTACTGTCACAGAAAAATGGAGCATTTTGGAAGGATCTCCATGATCAAGTAAATGAGAATGTGAGGACTTTTAATAACAAAATTAGCCCCACATTGAAATGCCTTGAAGAGATAACAAGGATAAAATCTCCTAGGAAGCTTGAAAATGACAACCTTCCTTGTGATGTTGAGACACAAGAATATCCAAATACAAATGCATTTGGGGACTGGAGTGGAGAAGAAGAGGTCAATAGCATTACAAGCTCTTTTATCAAACATCTGGAGGAGATGGCTACCAAAACTCACACCAACATAGATGAGGAGATGCTTAAAGGTCAAATGGTTTTCCATTACAGTTGCTTAGGTTTCTGTACTAGTAACTTGATGAGAGAAACAATGAAGATTCAGAGTGAAGTAAAAGAACTACTTAAGTGGGAGAATTCAAGTCAAACAAACTTCGACAAATTTTTTTGTTAACATCAAGCTCGGTGTTCACAGTAAATCTAGCACCCTTTGAATTAACCAATAACAAGTATATGGCATCTCTATAAATATTCAACTAAAGAAAGAAGATTCAACTCCAACTGGTGATTGAAGCACTAAAAAAGAAATCCAATACTTGATGTCAAACAACTCTTAAGGTATGTTTGATACTTTAGTTTGGAAAAGAAGTGAAAGAAAAGAAAAGGAATAGTTTAACTACAACAGCACTCTACTAATTGTTTTGCTTGCACTGTTCAACTACCGATTCCAACCTCCTACTTTTGTCGAGCAAAATGCTTCATTGATGGCGCCTCCCAAAGAGAGAAGATAAAATGTAAATAATTAAAAAAAGAAAAAAAAAAGGCTGAAACAAAATACGATATGTGTGCATGTAATAAACCGCCTCTGCATGCGCCATGTATGTTGCATCGATCTTTAAATTCAAGTAAAGGCTCCCCCACTTTCACACAGTGCAAGACATTTAGGTCTGGTGCAACTTCTTTCATGGATCACGTACTGCTCTTGTAGAAAAAGTTTGTTGCACAGTTGTAGAAAAGCAGCAAGAAGCAAGTCTTAGTAAAACTGTCTTATCTACGTTTCGACCATATTCAGTTATCTATCTATCAAAATCCTAGAACACTATTAACTAGTCCATTTTAACCATCTCCCAAAATCCTCCAACATGGTCCAGTCCTCATTTAACTAAAAGATGTGATCACATGCAACAATCACATTGCTACCTTCACAGCAAGTAAAAATGATTGAACATTCTCATGTAGAACACTGGCAACCTATGAAATACAACCCCACCAACCCGCACTTACTCTCGGCAAACCTAATATATTTTCATGTTAGAACCTGCCTTCTAACAACAGAAAGGAAGAGGAAAAAATAAGGGGGGAAAAAAAAGGCATACAACTTATGCTTACTAGATCGCCTATCCAATAAAAGATGTTGAATGAGAAGTGGATGCTTTATATCTCTTAGCAAACCCATCTCCCAGCTGTACCAAATTCAGTATTTTGACTAGTTTCACAATGAAAGTTCCTTAACTGCAAAACATAACTTAAGGAAACACACATAGGTATAGCTAAATTTTAAGTATTAAGCTCTCCTCTGATGCTTATAAAAGTTTTAGTAGTAAGCTAAAATTCACATTCCCAAATCTGAGTCCTTGATTGTATCAAATTGATTTCCATTTGCAAAGCATCCCGGTCTACAACATAAAAATTACATCTTGAACTCAAATTCCTAGTTTCCTTCGAACTTTGGGTCAGCCATGACAAAATGGTATGCTATCACCAGTACAAAGATGAAGACGCCAAGAAAATTGGCAAAGAAACCCAGATCTTGATCATCAATCATCTGCAACATCACAACCAACAAATTGAACACATTTCAGTACCCTGGTTTGGGATATCACAAAACGGATTCACAACATAAATCAAATCCAAAATGTTAATCCTACTATCCCACGAAATTTTGATTCAACAGTGACATTGACATAGCAGTATACAATTAAAAACAAACATGAAGATGCAACAAAAATGGGTATTCAATTTAATGTCCATTTCACCTCGAGAAGATTGAAGGAAATTTATATATGAATTTTGGTCCCAACCCTCATTCTAGATCGACTAATTAAAATCATACTGATATTATAGATTTATATATAAACAGAAACAATAAGCCCCGATCTGAAAACTGATACGGAAGCATGTCAAGGAAAACGCGCAATCGGCATTGGCACGGTCAATTTGTGATGGTGGAAAAAACGAAAGCGGAAAATGGAGAAAGAATTCGTTCATGAGAATAAGGAAGGCATTGAGAGGGGTTGAGATTACCTTTGGACGCGGTGGCAGTGGCCTTCACTTTTCCTTCGGCCGAGTGTTGAAGTCGTGATTCCTAGGTCTCAATGCAGTGTTTCCCCCACACTTACTTAACACAAATAAGAACAACCGATGTCAATAGTGTTCAATTCGGTGACCATTTTACCCATCACAATTTTTCAAATTTACTCATATAATGATAATAGAAATTGAAATGCACGGGAATGGATGGTGGATAAATAAACTGAATTTCTAACTTGCAATCAATTTTAAACCTAAGTCGGTGAAAACGAACAAATCGATGAATTGTTGAATCGGGAATTGATGAGATTGGAGAGCGAGAAACATGCAAAGAAAAAATTCGATAGAGAGCATATATGAAAAGTGAAAAGGGAATCGAAGTGAATGAAATGTAAGAGAAAGTAGGAAGAGAGGGGTTACCTCGGAGCCGATTGGTGTTGTCTCTCTAAACCTAATAACCCTTTCAAAGTGAATAGCGTTCTTCCCTACAATTTAATGAATTTATTATTTATACCAGACCCCTCTCTCATTTATCCCTACATATTTTTTTATTCCTTTTATTAAAAACTTGCATTGGGCTGGGCTTTAGATTCATTGCAATCTTTTTTATTTTACTTACACTTCTTTATTTATTAGATACAAATTTCCTTTATAATATACTAGCAAGAAAAAGATATTTTGTGCTTGTATTATATTAAAAAAGAAAAAGAAATAAATGAAAAATTACTTATAAAAAATATAATTATTAAAAAATAAAATAAAGAAAAAAATAGTTCATGTAAAAATAAAAACAAAAAATAGTTATTGAAAGTGGTATTCCATTTATATATTAGTATTAGTATAGATTCATTAGTTTCAAGTTCTTAAATTTGATTAAAAAATATTTTTTTTCTAATTTTTTAAAATAAGAGTACAATGGTCTAAAAAAGTGGAGAGTATCCTATATATAATAGATGAATGAGACATTTCATGCCTCTTAATTATTTTTTAAAATAATAAATAATAAAATGATTGGTTATTAAAAGAATGTGAGAAGAAAAAAAAATAAAAAATAGAATGAATAATTACTGATGTTTCACGGTTAAGTGAAAAAGTAATTTAAGAAAAAAAATCTTTTAAAAATGGAAACTACATTATACAATTATATATATAAGTTTTTTTTAATTTATTTTTCTAAAATAATCTTCAACCGCGTTATTTTTTTCATTTTATTTTTCAAAAATTATTTTTGGAAATAAACATTAATTATTTAAAGAAAATTTTGAAATTATATAATTATTTATGAAAGTCATTTTTAGAATAATTTTTTCTTTTGAAAAATTAAATATATGGTCTTTTCATATATGTATATTTATTCTTTTTGTACTTGTTCGAAATATAAGTTTATTCTTTTTAAAAAAATTGAAAACCAATTTAGAAATAAAATGAATATAATAGGTAAAAAGAAATACGAAATTAAGGAGGGGGGAAATAAATCTTAAAAACATTTAAGAAAAACATCTAAAACTTTATAGTTGAAAATCGGTTGTTAAAAAAACTCATACTTAGCATATCAATCATACAAAGCATATCAATGTTCATCATCATTTCAATTATACAAATGTAGCATATTAATGTTTATTAACATCACTCGATATACAACATATTCATCATCATTTAAGCACGAGACAACTCCAACAACAAGTATTCACCACCAAATAAATCCATCAAATAAATAACCAACTCAATTAGAAAAAAAATTTATTAAGTCTCCACATTGAGCGTGGAATCTCACGCTTAGCCTAAGGCTTCCAAAGAGTTATATAAGAAAATTTTCAAATTCCTATGTTAAGCATAGAATCTCATGCCCAACATCAGCTTCCCAAAGGCCCACCCAATTCTCACATTAAGCGTAAGATTCATACTCAACCTTAGTCATGTTAAGTGTGAAATCTCACACTAAGCCTCGACATTTTAGAGATACTCCCCATTTCTCATGTTGGGTGTGAAAATTCACGCTTAATCTCATAACTCAATAGCCATCATCCCCAGTAGCTATGAATACCACCCAACCTCTAAATTCTCTATAATTATGCAAAAATCCATGCATGCAATCCCAAAATCTCTCAATTTTAACAACACAACTCAAAAATCAAATGATAATACACGTGCTTCAACAACACCTCGAGAAAATAATCAATTTCTCAAATTTTCATCAAGAATGCCAAAACCCCAAATCTCCTTGCCACCAAATTCGTTTTGAACAACATAGTCATACAGCTTAAAGGAATTCAAGCAATATGCACAAATAGATGCATCAAGAGTTGAGTTTTAACTTTCTTTACCTCGGATTGCTCCAAAACAAGATAAGGAAGAGGGAACGACAAAGAATAAAGCTCTTTGAGAGCCCCTCGTATGACAACCTTGACTATGGATTCTTAGTCACCAAATTTGAATATTCAATCCAACACCACTTCTTGATTAAGGGAGTGATTTAGAATGCTTTCACGAGTCAGAAGAATAACGAAATATCTTTGACTCCAAAAGCCTATCTCTCTGACTTTAACTTTCAAGAACCCCTCAACCCCTCAACCCCTCAAACTTTAAAATAACAATTATAACAAACAATAATTAAATAATTGTATATATAACACATAATTAATTAAAATACCTAAAACATACATTGTTACATTATTAATTATCTTAATTAATACTTTTTTATTTTTATATTCATGTCAATACTAAAAAATAGATATTAAGAAAATATTAATAATTAAAAAATTACAAAGATTAAAGAAAAGCCATATATTGTAGAAATTGAATACATATTTAAGTCTTATATTTATATTTATTTATTCAAATAGTTAATAATAAATATTCTAAGTAAATGTATTTTTTTATAAGTTATGAGATAATTTTACAAATATATAGAAGCAAAAAAATACAAGCATGAGTAATATTAAAAAATTACAAATAAAAATATATAAGCACGTATAAATTTGATCTCTGTCGGATTGGATTGATTTTTAAAATCAAATTATATTTCTGCTTTAATATACTAAAATAATTGTTTTTATTTATTTATTTTTGTTTGGTTTGGTTTTTGGTTTGTTAAATCATTTTTCAAAATATAGGATTAGTTTTTTTTTTCTTCATTCGTTTGAATTCATTTATAAACACTCTTATTCGATATGTTGTTACTAAATCTTAAGTTACTGGAAGTTGATTTAATGCTTCTAAGATTGATTCTCATTATTATTAAAACGATATTTTATTAGCAGAAGTTATTTACAAAAATTGTAAATTAATTTATATTTATTTGTTTTAAGATATTGGATATATTATGTTTATTGAAAGAAAAAAAAACTTAAGTTACTAAGACAGTCTTTGATAAAACTAGTTTAAGTTAGTTGAAAACTTATAAACTAGTTAAAAGTTTATGTTATAAGTTAGAAGTTGATATAATGCTAGCTAATAAGTTAGCTGATTAAATTAAAAATGTTTAGCACGATAGTTTATAAATTAATTGATTAATGTAAAATGACATATATTTATTTCTTTTATGATGAGAGTGAGAGAATAACATGTAATTAAGATACTTTCTAATTTAACAGGCTAAAAAAAGATTTTAAACAAATTAATGAGGATAAACAAATGAGAAAAAAGAAGAAAAAGAATTATAAGCTACTATCGCAATCTACAATGACTACATTTTTATCATTGAAAAGTGTCTAAAATGAATGGTGTTCTCATTGAATTTTTCAATGTAATGTCAATTATTATTTTTCTTATTTGTCCCTTCATAATTTATTCAAGTATCTCAATCAAATATAATGTATTACGTAGTAATTGAGAGATTAAATTATTTTAGTAAAATTGTATTAAAAAGTAATATATTTATTGTTATTTTTAATCTATGCATAAAATTTTTGAAGCACAACTATTATTGGGACGGAGAAGTATAATCTACTTCAATTAATTTATTAAAATAAATGATAAATTTATAAAATAAAATCGTGCACCCAACAAACTAATTAATTAAAATAACTTACGAATTCTTCAAACATCTTTTCAAATACATTCATTAATAATAAAATATATAGAAAGATTGATATAGATATGTTAAAGTAAAAATAAAATATATAGAAAGATCGATATAGATATGTTGAAGTTAAAAATGTCAAATGATAAACATATAACATATCAATGAATAATAATGCCGTCCATCACTCTATTAAACATTTTTTTTTAATGTTGAATTATTTCTCAATTGAATATCACCACACGCGACTTTAATTAAAAAAATAAACATTTTTTATATTGTTTATAACTATTTTTCCACGAATATTTTTTATATATAATTATGTAATTAATGTAAAATATTCACATATTTTATTGATGACTAAATTATGTTAAAAAATTTGACTGAATGCTACCTTTCTAAGGGTTGACTCACAAAGGTTTAAAACAAAATTTGAAACAAGCATGAAACAAAAGAACTGTATGTTGGACTTTTTTTTATTGATATATGTGACATTTTTTGCTTTACTTTCGAATCAATCCTGACCTTTACACTGTGTTAGATAAAGAGAAAAGAAATAAAAGAAAAATAAATAAATAAAAATTATTTGATAAAAGAGAAATAGAAGGAAAATAGAATGAAAGTTTAATTTTTTTTATAAATAATTTTATTTAAAAGTAATAAATAAAAAATATTATTTTATTTACTTATTACTTTTAATATTTTATTATCAATATGGTTCCGATATTGAAAAGGAAAACTTTTACACACTTTTCCTCAATTTAGATTAGAAGTTTATATTAAGTAATGGGTCTCAAATTATAATTCTTACACTTTCCTTTTGTTTCCTCTTTTCAAATCCACTTTATTTTTCAACTTCTCATTACTTTCTGGCACTTTATTAATATAGGTCTGTTTGTTTAATTTTTTTCTTTCTTATAATAGTGTTTTTTTAAATAAAATAAACATTTTTTTTTCATTTTTTATGTGTTTAATTTTTTAAAAACTGAACATTTTTTACTTTTCTTAATAAAAAATTTCTATCAATTTCTTAAATAATTATTGTTTAAAATATTTATTTAAAAATATTTTTTTTTTAAGTTTGAATAAATATACGTATAATTTTTATTTTTATTTTTACTTATAAGATTTGAACTTAAAACTTAAAAAAAATATATTATTCTTGTTTGAGAATTTTCTGATCCGCATTTCTTTTAGCAGCCTTTTTTTCCCTTTCTTTTTGGTTCATGTTACTTGAAAAACGAAATGCAGTTTTAATTTTTGTTTTATTTTCCTTCTTTTATGGTTATGTTATTACTTGGAAAACCGTCCACCAATCATTCGTCTCACAGCTGTATTAGTTATGATTATATATTGTCTTTTTTTCTTTTATCATGATCATATTGTCCGGTTTTAAAGTCAGAGAATGTCTCTTCAAAATACAAAAGGTAGTTTATAGTTCCCAAATATATTTTTGGTATTATTATTATTATTATTATTATTATTATTATTATTATTATTATTATTATTATTATTATTATTATTATTATTATTATAATATCGTTCTTAATAATTCTTTGTAGATAATAAGTGAAAAAAACGTGTTTTTCTTTATATCGCTCCTATATTGTGATTATGATAATAATGATTAAATGAAAGTCACATTATTTTTTTAAATAATGAAAATATGTCAACTTAACTTAGATTTTAAATATATAAATTAAATTTATTCTATAAAAATAAAATATAAGTTCTATCTATTATTTATTATAAATTTTTTATACACATTATTTTTTATTTCCTATTTCTTTATTTTGTATGAACAGGAAATGTAAAAAGATTAAGTGAAAATATCAAAATGTTAATAATTTAGTTTTTTTTGTTAAAAATATATTTATTTAATTATATCATTAATAATGTAATATGTGTATTTTTTTTATAGTATATAAAGAAATAGACTAGCCTATTAGGTGTAACAATATGTTTTTATAAGTTTAGGATTTAGAGTTTAGCCTAACTTTTTTAAATAAATTATTTTTTAAAGTTAAAATATAATTTTTTTATTAAATAAGTCAGGTCAAGTTAAGTCACAGTTCCATGTTTAAAATTTGACCTATTCACATCTTTATTTAGAACCAATTTTCTTTCCTTTTCATGTTCATCGATAATTTGGATTACAACCTCTCCTTACAAGGGCAAGTATCAACCATTGGACTGCATTGATTCACACACACACACACACATATATATATATATATATAAAGAGATAACTGTTTACTTCAAGAGTAAGTGTATTTAGACTTATTTTGTTTAATGACTCATGTTCTATATCAAATCTCAATGATTCTTAAATTTAAAATTCTTAATGCACAGATCAAATCTGCAATTTTTTAAAAATTTTAAAAATTATTTGATATTTTATTTTATTTATTCAAATTAACGGATAATTATAAAAACGTATCATCCATCAATTTTGTCAATCTAATCAATTGAATTATAAATACATGTCATCTTATATGTTTATGTAAAATTTAACAATAATTATAAGATAATCAAATTGTTTATGTTTTGTATATTTTAAAATGCATATATTACGTCAATTTGGATCTACATGGATGAGATATCAAATTATCTTCAATTAATATAGAATTACATATATAATTTGATAGTAAAGAACTTTTAATCTAATGATAAAATTTTATAAATTACTTTTAATATAAAATTATTAAACAGTATAATAGTTGATAAAAATTATACTGATGATATTTGATCTCTTATATATATACTATATGTGTCGAGGTACTTCGTGATTCTAATAATTATACATAGAATATTAGAAGGTTGCATGTAGTTATTTAAAAAAGATATAAGTTTTTTTTGTTTACATCTAATGGATATAGTGGTTCATTAAAAGATAAAGACTAAAAACGGTTACATACCTATATAACTCCTTTATAATATATATATATATATAT